TATTATTTTATTTATGCCCCACTCCTCTGGCTAGGTTTCCCCAGCCACTCTGGGTGGCTAAAGAAGAACATGCAACACCCCCCAGACTGTGTTTAGTAGAGTTTCCTTGCAAACCCCCCCCCCTGTTAATCAGCAACATAGAGAGGGGAGATGCAACTGAACTGAAGGAACTGAAAACCTGTTTGTCTCTGGAGGCTGTTGCAGTGCTGTCGCATGATTGTATTAGGAAATGGAAACGATTAAAGATGGCATTTCCTTACCAGAGTGGATGTCTCTATTCATTAAACTGTAAATTTAATAAACTTTCTTCCCATATCCCAAGAAGGCATTTAAGTGGAGGTTTAGGAGATATGGAAATTTATTTAAATTTAATTAGATTTTTCGTCAGTGTAAAACAGGGATTGGTTCTACATTTTGAGGAAAGGTGGTGGTGGGGAGATTTTCAGCAAAGTTTGAAAGCCTGATCGTTGATACTTGGCACAAGAAGCCACGTGTCCTAAATGCATTTGTCATGGTTACTTTAATCACAATGCAATCCTATGCATGTTTAACTCTTCTGCTGTGTTCAGTAGAGCTCATGGAATGATCTCAGGCAGGCAAGCAAGTCCTGATAAGAAGTAATGACTCTTTAGCAGATTTATGTACATTTATTTACAAAAAAACACATCCAGAGCATGGCTTATCACCTGCTTGCATTGACGATAGTTGGTCAGTCTGAAGCTTCTCCACTCCGACAGCAAGAAGGATGCCAAATTCCCAGCCTCCCCCTCTTGCCCATCCGTTGTCCTCTGACCTTATCCAGTCTCCTAGAATGGGGACTGAGAGGTTGGCCTTCGCCCTCCCCACTTTCACTTGACAGTCTCATTCCTCTGCTTATCTGCTGATTGCCTAGCAACGCTCTGGCTGCCTCCTAACTCTCCCACTTCTTGAGAGCTAACAGTGTCTTCTTCAGGAAGCGGGGCTCAAACTGCCCCTTCTTGGCTCTGAGATGGTCTCCTGCTGTTTCCCTGAGATTGATTCCCATAAGACTTTCATGAGAGGTGGTGGTCTCTCCTTCCTTGAAGGTTTCTAAGCAGAGGTTGGATGGCCATCTGTCATGGATGCTTCATTTGAGATTCCTGCATTGTGGGGGTTGAACTAGATGACCCTTGGGTGCATTCCAACTCTATGATTCTATGAGGCACAAATAACATTGTGTAGTTTATCTTGGGAGCACAGCATGCCTGGAGGCAGAAGCAGCACCACCTGCGCGTCATGGCTCAGGAGCCCTGTCATGGCTCAGGAGAATCTTTCACCCTTTCCAAGGAGCCCTTCTCTTCTGTGCACATAGCAGAGAAATGCTGCCATATGATCATGGGCAGGGGGAGAAAGGTCTTGCTTCAGGAGGGACAAATTATGTACGGCTGCAGCCAGATTCCCCCCTCCCCACACACACTTTACTTGCTCCACCTAAGTGAGGGATCATCCACATTTCCTTTTGTGCTGCTTTTTCTAGCCACAGGTATGGGATTTCCACATTTTACATTACATTGGAGCAAATGGCAATCTGGGGGAAATCCTATGCCTAGAAATGGGGCATAAGAAGAAGTGCAGATGAGCCATAAGCCATAACTGCAACTCTCTGGGAATTCCACTTCAGATCATGACACCTTTCTACAGTTATATGCAAAAAAAGAAAAAAGGAAAAAAGGAAAAAAGGTGTCTGTAGGGAATCAACAGCAGCACAGTCTGCCCACTCTTCTCTACAGACAGGCAGGATTGCTTTGCAGGGGCCAGCAAACTTTTTCAGCAGGGGACCGGTCCACTTTCCCTCAGACCTTATGGGGGGCCGGACTATATAATTTTTTTTGGGGGGGGGTGAACGAATTCCTATGCCCCACAAATAACCCAGAGATGCATTTTAAATAAAAGGACACATTCTACTCATGTAAAAACACGCTGATTCCCGGACCGTCTGGGGGCTGGATTAAGAAGGCGATTGGGCAGGATCTGGCCCCTGGGCCTTAGGTTGCCTACCCATGGCTTTGCTCCTTACATTGGTTTGAGAGCTGGCCATAGGGTGATTGCTAATTCTTGACTTTTCACCAGGTAATTCCAAAGCTGCAATGGATTTGTTACACTGGAGTAGTGTTATCAGATAAGGCATTGTTTGTTTGCTTCCTTGCTGCTACCTGGAAAGAGGCCTTAAGCGGCAAGCTTTGAAAATGGTGGCTTGGGAAATTTTTTTCCCAAAGGAAATGAGAAATGGTGTGACCATTTAATATATGGCCTGTGAGACAGTACTGCATAGCAGCTAATAAGATAAGATTCTTTTGGAGTTTTTAGCCTTTAATAGTGTATCAAGGTTCCCCACCCCTAAAGAAGGCTGAGAATAAATTATGTGTTGGCAGGTTGAATTCAGTAACCAAGATCTGATAATGCAGTCCTGAATTACTTATGGGATTCAACTTAAATCAGCTTTTGATACAAATGTGTTTGTTTCAGTCCCCAAGCTTTTTTGGCTCATTGACAACTAGATAATTACACTTTTCCTCCCTTCATTAGTTACTTTGGCTTCCTTTTACAAACAATTGCAATTTGGAAATGAGGGTGGCCTATATTTATGTTTCGAGACCAAATCCATCTTTTTCTTGGTTTAGCAGTCCAAATTGTTGTACTAGGATATGACTGTACATTGTAACACCTGAAACCCTCTGTGGAATTTGATGTCACCCAGATTTAGTGGCAGCGTACTTGATTGGGCTCCTGGAAGCAAGTGAGGTGATTCTCTGGTGAGAAGCATCCACTGCCCCTTCAGCGTCATGAAGTGGGAGGGCAAAGACTATCCCCTCCCCACCAGGAGCTGGCAGTGGAGGGAGGAACATCTCAAGCATCACACAAGGCAGAGGCGCAGCCTGGTGCCCAGTATTGAGGGGGCCCAGCATCACCCACATATGCAGCATGCATGAGGCCAAGTGTGGAGCCCAGCATGGCACAGCTTCAGTGGCCGGTGGCGCCTCTTCCCTCATGCCCAGGAGGAGGCAGCCACTGATGCGGCTCTGTGCTCAGCCTCTGCCCCCTTGACATGGGGCTGGGGCTCAGACCCCTGCCAACAAATATTGAGGGGGCTGAAGACACTTCTGCCCCTAGGAGTTGGTGCCTGTGATACAAGCACATTCTTCCTAACCAGCTACCAGTCTCCTGCTTGGATATCTGAGGGACAACTAACCAGCACCTCGTCCAGTAGCTACCAGTATGGGAGAGCTTTTCCTTCCCCCTGGGTTGCTCAACAGCAGCGCCTGCTAGCGGGGGTACCAACCTGAATAAAAGATGTGGCGCGGACACACCATAGATAGATAGATAGATAGATAGATAGATAGATAGATAATTTATTACAGTCAGAGACCAGCTTATAAAACACACTTGGGGGTACAGTCACAGAAGCAAAACGAACAATTAAAACAATGTACAACAATAAATTTAAAAACAATGTACAATAATAAACTGCCACAGGGAGCTGACCCAGGGTCACCCATAGAACCGAGAATGGGGAATTTTCATAACAAACTAGTTTGAGTTGGGAGATGGTCTGCGCCTACAGATCTGTACACAGAATCTGGCGACCATCCAGGTCGTCTTCTGATCTTTGCCTAACAGGAAAAGGTTGAGTTTTTGCTTTTCCGGGAGGCCAGTGAGCCTCACCAGCAGGGGATCAATGGTCTCACTACGAGCCTCTTCATAAAAGGGACATTTAAAGAACAAGTGCTCTGGGCTTCCTATCTCTCCCAATGGACAGGCGCAAAGTCTCTGAGCGTGTGGGACTTTTTTTAAAGGCTCCTTCCAGGACCAGCGAGGGCAGAGCCAAGCTTCTGGTGAGTGTAAAGGCCCTTCTTGCATTCTTAGATACGAGAAAGAAGAGATATGCTGCCGGTGCGGCTCTATATCTCTTGATTTCTCCAATTTTATAGTCGGGACACCTTGAGCAGTCCCATTGTCTCTCGGTGTCTATGATTCTTTGCCTGACCATAGCTTTTGCCTGGCCCAAGCCCAGACTTAGAAGGGCTTGAGGGGCAAAACCCAGTTTCTGAAGGGTGTTCAGGACTGCAGTCTGCCAGCCTGACTGGAACTGGTCGCAGAGGATCAGTGGGGCTATTCCTCGGGGGAGCAGATTCAATGTCAGCCATTTGTAGATTGATGTTAGGCAGATAGAAGCCTCCACTCTCATCATCCCCGTTTCTAGTCTGACACACCATTTGAATGGCAACACCCATCAGCTTGGGGGTCAGCCCCCTCAAATGTTATATTGGAAATGTCAAAAGGAGTTGGCTCCTATGCCTGCTAGTGTACATCAGTGGCTACCTTCACAGACCACTGTTGTGGGTACCAGAACACCTTTTTGTAAATGTGTAGTTACTTCAGATTGCACCATCTCCTTCCCTGTACTTCTGGAGACATTCCTGTAGACTGACACTAACAGCAACATCATGGCTGCAGGGGTTTATACCAATAACAGAAAGGTTGGTTGGGGTAGAATTATGGGGAGTTGATCAATACTTCCCTGTATTGAATATGAATTGGAATTTCTATCTGTCAGTTAAATGGCACCCAGGAAAGAAGCAAGAACATTAAATAATAGGCTAGAAGATACAGTAAAAGCTTAACTGGATTAATTACCTTAACAATTAAAACAAATAATAGCTTTGAAGTTGCTTATAAGTTTACTTTACATTGTTTGCAATTCTCCGTCTGTGTGCTGAGCTGAGTGAAAATGAAAGCTAAATTTTATCTTTTTCATATGAGCTGGAAAGCAGAGATAGCCAGTAAATCATGGCAATACAGAATGCTTCATTGATTCTTGAACTTTTACGGTCGGTGTTCAAAAAGCAGATTGGACTACAGATAAAGCACGTGAAAGAATGTATGGAATCTGTGGAAGAAGATCTGGAATTACTTTTCCCCCAAACATGAAGAATCAACAGATGTTGAATGGGAAAGAGATTTACAATGGTCTGAAGGTTGAAACAAGCAAAGGAAACTGTTGTAATGTCAGACGAGATTAATGAAATTATGATCAAAGATGATAAGAGATGACTGCAGATGGTAGAGACTGAAATGAATACACAAGCAGGAAAAAAACCTCTCATCTCCTGGAGATCAGTCTGATAAAAGACTGGGGAAAAAGCAGGGAAAGGAACTTTTTCTTTTTTTCTTTAAACAGGAATGAAGCATGGCCAACTGGAAACGAGGATGGAATATGATTTAATGAAGATATAACAGGCAAATAAGTAAGGATTATTACATTATTAAGATATGTTGGAACTCTAGAGAGCCAGTGTGGTGTAGTGGTTAAGAGCGGTAGTCTTGTAATCTGGGGAACCGGGTTCGCGTCTCCGCTCCTCCACTTGCAGCTGCTGGGTGACCTTGGGCCAATCACACTTCTCTGAAGTCTCTCAGCCCCTCTCACCTCACAGAGTGTTTGTTGTGGGGGAGGAAGGGAAAAGGAGATTGTTAGCCGCTTTGAGACTTCTTAGGGTAGTGATAAAGCGGGATATCAAATCCAAACTCTTCTTCTCTTCTAGAGGAGAAACTCATCAAAATGAAATGGAAAAGACCATTTTGACACTTGAAGATAATAACAACTGGAGAGCTCTTTTTGACTTTTTGAGTGGAAAAAGGTGAATTTGAGACAGGAGTGCAGTGTGCATGGCCCTGGCACTGAAATTTGTGAGTGCCCAGCCCCTTAATGGGGAATTTTGTTGGGGCTCGGGCACCCAGGGCCCCAGGGAGCTGGAACCGATGATTCAAGATTCCTGAAAGGGAACATTGTGAAAATACCAACTAGCAGAATGAGAAAAAGCTGGATCTTAATACAGCTTAAAATTATCCTAGAGTGCATACTCTAAATACTTACAAACATAACTGGCAGACAGAGAATCAGAAGACTCATAGAATTGTAGAGTTGGAAGGGACCCAAAGGGCCATGTAGTTTAACCCCTGCAATGCAGGAATCTCAACTTAAGCATCCTTGACAGACGGACATCCAACCTCTGCTTAAAAGCCTCCAAGGAAAGAGAATCTACCCCCTTCTGAGAGAGACCATTCCACTGTTGAACAGCTCTTACTATCAGAAAGTTCTTTCTGATGTTTAGTAGGAATCTCCTTTCTTGTAACTTGAAGTCATTGGTTTGTCAAAAGCCTTACTGAAATCAAGATGCACTACTTCTGCAGCGTTCCTCTGGTTCACCAAGGTTATAACTCTATCAAAAAAAGAAATGAGATTCGTCTGGCATGACTTGTTTTTGAGAAATCCATGCTGGGTCTTAGTAACCATAGCATTCTTTTCTAAGTGCTCATGGACTCTTGAATTCTCTGGTCTAGGACCTTCCCAGGTATTGATGTCAAGTTCATCAGTCAGTAGTTACCTGGGTCTTCCTCCCCCCCCTTTGAAGATGGGGACATTTGCCCGCCTCCAGTCTGCAGAGACTTTACCTATACTCCCAAAATTCTCGAAGATCATAGACAAAGGCTCTGAGATGACATCCACAAGTACCCTTGAAAGCAGCTCATCAGGCCCTGGAGATTTGAACTCAATTAAAGTAGCCAGGTGTTCCCTTACTACCACTTTTCCTGTCTTGGGCTGCAGCTTCCTCCTTACACCATCTATTCTGTTATCACCAGGTTGGGCATCACTTTCCTTTTGGGTGAAGACAGAGGGAAACCAGGTGCTGAGCAATTCCGCCTTTTCTGTCACCCAATAGCATTTCTCTGCCTTCACCACACAAAGGACCTGCCACTTGCATCTTCTTCCTCTTGCTTCAAACATAGCTGAAGAAACCTTTTTTATTATTTTTAATCTCTTTTGCAAGAGATATGTTTCTTTTCTTTTCTCTTTTTTTCTTTCTTCTTATCTTGCTTTTTCTATGTTTTTTTAACTCTTGATAGCTCTCTGTTAATTCTATTTAGATGTCTGTTTTGCTCTTTGAAGTTTGATATTTGGTTTAAATGAAGCTGCATACGGAGAGGTGATGGATAGAAGAGGAAAGGACCTGCCTGAGAGGTGGGCCAGAGAGGTTTCCTCGGGGTGCGAGGCTGAGGAAAGAGAGGGATGTGCCCAGGTGAGAGCTGGGAGGGTTCACTCTTAGGTATGTGGAATAAGGATCAACATAAAATTGTGATAGAGGGCTTTGTATTATTTATATTATATTATATTATATTATATTATATTATATTATATTATATTATATTATATTATATTATATTATATTATATTATTATATTATATTATATTATATTATATTATATTATATTATATTATAATGCCTTTTTGTTTGGTTTTTATTGTAACATTTGTTGAAAATTGTCAATAAAATTTAATACAAAAAACCACAAACCCATCCCTGGGGCTGTATCTTGCAGGGGACGATTAGAAGCATTGGACAAGCTGTCTTTGAGGCAGCTTGTTGTCATTCAAAAATCCCCTGACAAGGCATGAAGGAGGATTCCATTTTACACTGATTCCTACACCAAATTTGGCAATTCCAAAATTGAACCCTTTGCGTCTGTTTATATCCATGCTGCTTGTACATTATGTTTGTTTTGTTTTTTTAAAAAGACTAATTACCGTATATAGAAATTTATGTGCAACCTCCCCCCATAATATGCACATTATTATACACAATATTGTATGCATAATAATGTGTATAATTGTATAGCAATGTACAATATTTCAAGAATTTTAGTGGAAGCATTGAGATTAAGGAGCAAAATGGGAATTAGGAAAAAAATTGTGTTGAGAGGTTTGAGCTGGATACTGAGGTTTTCAGAAAATCCCATCCCTGACAAGCTTCTGAGAAATCCCAGATGTTGAAAAAGCTGATGTGGAAGTTCCTAAATACTAAGGCAATTCCTACACCTATCTGCTCTGCTAATGTGCCTTGCTGCAGCCTCCCCCTCTGCCTCTGCCTCTGCCACTGGCAGAGAAGCAGCAGCAGCATCAGTGCCAATTTCCGGAAAGATCTTGCATGCTTCATGAGACCTCGTGAGGACACGCTGGAAACTGGCGCTGATGCCGGTGCCACTTCTCTGCCATTCAGCTAATTACACTACAGTGGTACCTCTGGTTACAAACTTAATTCATTACGGAGGTCCGTTCTTCAGCTGAAACCGTTCTTATCCTGAGGTACCACTTTAGCTGATGGCTGCGCCATTCACATCCTGAGGCAAAGTTCGCAACCAGGAGCAGCTACTTCTGGTTTAGCGGAGTTTGTAACCCAAAGTGTTTGTAACCCAAAGTGTTCGTAACCAGAGGTACTAGTGTTCGTAACCAGAGGTACAAGCATACTAGGACTCAATTTCTTGACTTTAAGAAAGCCGACTTCATAAAACTTAGGGAAGTGCTGGGTGAAATCCCATGGACAGTAATACTAAAAGGAAAGGGAGTTCATGATGGCTGGGAGTTTGTTAAGAGGGAGATAGTAAAAGCACAACGTCAGGCAATACCAATGAGACGGAAACATGGAAGGTGCCTAAAGAAGCCAGGGTGGCTATCTAAAGAACTTTTAACTGAGTTAAGATTAAAAAAGGATGTGTACAAAAAATGGAAAAGGGGGGAAACCACCAAAGAGGAATTCAAACAAATAGCCAGCACGTGTAGACACAAAGTCAGGAAAGCTAAAGCACAGAATGAACTCAGGCTTGCTAGAGAGGTTAAAAGCAACAAAAAAGGCTTTTATGGGTATGTCCGTAGCAAAAGGAAGAACAAAGAAACAGTGGGGTCACTCAGAGGAGAAGATGGTGAAATGCAAACAGGGGACACAGAAAGGGCTGAACTCCTCAATGCCTTCTTTGCCTCAGTCTTCTCCGATAAAGAAAACAATGCCCAACCTGAAGAATTTGGAGCAAATGATTCAGCAAAGGAAACACAGCCCAGAATAACTAAGGAGATAGTACAAGAATACTTGGCTAGTTTAGATGTATTCAAGTCTCCAGGGCCAGATGAACTGCATCCAAGAGTATTAAAAGAACTGGCAGATGTGATCTCAGAACCACTGGCAGTCATCTTTGAGAATTCCTGGAGAACAGGCGAAGTCCCGGCAGATTGGAGGAGGGCAAATGTTGTCCCTATTTTCAAAAAGGGGAAAAGAGAGGACCCAAATAATTACCGCCCAGTCAGTCTGACATCAATACCAGGGAAGATTCTGGAGCAGATCATTAAGCAAACAGTCTGTGAGCACCTAGAAAGGAATGCTGTGATCACCAATAGTCAGCATGGATTTCTGAAAAATAAGTCATGTCAGACTAACCTGATCTCGTTTTTTGACAGAATTACAAGCCTGGTAGATGAAGGGAACGCAGTGGATGTAGCCTACCTTGATTTCAGCAAGGCATTTGACAAGGTGCCCCATGATATTCTTGTAAAGAAGCTGGTAAAATGCGGTCTTGACTATGCTACCACTCAGTGGATTTGTAACTGGCTGACTGACAGAACCCAAAGGGTGCTCATCAATGGTTCCTCTTCATCCTGGAGAAGAGTGACTAGTGGGGTGCCACAGGGTTCTGTCTTGGGCCCGGTCTTATTCAACATCTTTATCAACGACTTGGATGATGGACTCAAGGGCATCCTGATCAAATTTGCAGATGACACCAAACTGGGAGGGGTGGCAAACACCCCAGAGGACAGGATCACACTTCAAAACGACCTTGACAGTTTAGAGAACTGGGCAAAAACAAACAAGATGAATTTTAACAGGGAGAAATGTAAAGTATTGCACTTGGGCAAAAAAAATGAGAGGCACAAATACAAAATGGGGGACACCTGGCTTGAGAGCAGTACATGTGAAAAGGATCTAGGAGTCTTGGTTGACCACAAACTTGACATGAGCCAACAGTGTGACGCGGCAGCTAAAAAAGCCAATGCAATTCTAGGCTGCATCAATAGGAGTATAGCATCTAGATCAAGGGAAGTAATAGTGCCACTGTATTCTGCTCTGGTCAGACCTCACCTGGAGTACTGTGTCCAGTTCTGGGCACCACAATTCAAGAAGGACACTGACAAACTGGAACGTGTCCAGAGGAGGGCAACCAAAATGATCAAAGGCCTGGAAACGATGCCTTATGAGGAACGGCTAAGGGAGCTGGGCATGTTTAGCCTGGAGAAGAGGAGGTTAAGGGGTGATATGATAGCCATGTTCAAATATATAAAGGGATGTCACATAGAGGAGGGAGAAAGGTTGTTTTCTGCTGCTCCAGAGAAGCGGACACGGAGCAATGGATCCAAACTACAAGAAAGAAGATTCCACCTAAACATTAGGAAGAACTTCCTGACAGTAAGAGCTGTTCGACAGTGGAATTTGCTGCCAAGGAGTGTGGTGGAGTCTCCTTCTTTGGAGGTCTTTAAGCAGAGGCTTGACAACCATATGTCAGGAGTGCTCTGATGGTGTTTCCTGCTTGGCAGGGGGTTGGACTCGATGGCCCTTGTGGTCTCTTCCAACTCTATGATTCTATGATTCTATGATTCTATGATTCTACCACTGTACTTAGTGAAAGCTGAACCGTTTGTAACCTATGTACCCTCTTGGACCTCTTATTTGCTGAGGAGCAAAGTCTGAAACAGTTGGCTATCCAGGAAGGACTGTCCGGCTACTGCCTCTGGAGCACCAACTTCTTTCAGGGTGTTGACTGCTAAATATATGAACAAGTCGTGAAGATAACCAGGCGCAGCTGTGCTGTGGTCGGGACTTGATACTTATTTTGGAAGGCATGTTGCCTCAATCATTCTCTGTTTGATACACCATTGAAAAAATCCCCTACTTGGGGAAATTCTTTGAAGTCACATTAGTGGGTGTTACCTTGCATATATTGTATGCCACTTGACTCTGAATGAAGATACAATTTAGTAGTTATATAAAGTGTTGTAATCAAATTATTAGCCTGTCGTGTTGCTTTTAGGTTGCCAGACTTCTCTGCCAGTGGCCGAGGCGGCAGGACAGGCTTCACCCCCCCCCCACCTCAGGGCTAGGCTGGGCCTGTCTACCAAACATGGAGATGCTAGCAGCTTGGAAGAAGCCAGAGTCCGGCTTTCTTGCAGTTGGGCTGAAGGCTCAAAGGTATACTGTTTGCTTTTCAGGAAGCTGTGTTTGTTTACGAATGAACACTGTTTGCTCCCTAGTGCTCAACATACATATTTTTCTTTTAAACAAACAGATGCCACAGAAATGACAGCATAGATCTCCAGGGCTCTCCCCATACAAGGATCCTTGTAAAAGGTTGCCCTCTGCTTAAGGGAATGGAGAATATGAAAAACATTACTGCTTCCAGCAGGAAGAGAACAATATTTTCCTCCTGAATTATTTTACTTTTAAGAAGAACATGTAGCTTTACTTAACCATTTCCTAGCAAGAGCATTAAAACTTTTATTTGAAAGTCTTCACAACACTTTTCAACCAGTTTTGAATCTTGCCTTTCCCTTCCAAAGAGGGCCAGGCATTGCCCAAATTAGTATATAAAAACACCACAGTGGCTCAAGGTTTAGGGAAGCTACATCATTAAACAAGAGACACAACTTTCAGAGAATGCATTTTAATGCAAAGGCACTGTGGGATATCTGATTGCTGCATATTATACAAACAGATGAACAGAAATGTTACTAAATCTAGCCTGAGCTCTGCAGAACAACAGTTTTTACAACCAAAATAACTTGAGATATGTTGGCACACAATCAAAAGCAAAAAATAAATGCAAATTAGAGATGATCTCATGGGCCTCATTCCCCAAACACAATGAAATAGTATTGCCTGAAATTCTAAAAACGTTGCACTTTATAGTTTATTTATGGCACTTTTCCCACCCAGCTGCCTTTCAAATCAATGCAGAGATTGGAAGGGGAATGAAATGCGTGTTCCAAGTAAAGCCAGGATCCATTTTTCCAAGCTATTCATAATCAAATCACATCTTGCAATTTTGCAAATGCCTAACACCTTCAGGCAAGCCAAACTAGGATGCTGTTTAAGATTTCAATACATGGGGTTGGGTTGGTGGCAGGGATTCTCATAGGTTTGCAGGTTCATACCTGAATATATTCAAGACCAAACTGCAAAAGCATTGTGCATGATTCAGAGCTTTCCGTTGTTACTTTTTAGGACCACGTAATCACTATGAAAATGTTAGCAACCTCCTTTTTCCAGGTGGTTTGTGACCTCTGACATCAAGTCCCCCAGAAGCAGTGCCCTTTGGTGCCTCAGAGACGGAGAGCCATCTGATGGAGCAATTTATTGTTTCTGGTCTTTCTCAAGTCAAGCACAAACATGGTATTTCCATCTCCTGCTGTTTACCTCTGAGACTGATGCCTGATATTCCAAAGTGCATGTCTACTCTGCATAAAGCAGGGGGGTGAGGCCTCCCAAGCAACTTCTCCTGCTCCTACAAGACTTCACTGATTTTGTTCACACTGGCAAAATGATAAAAATTCCTGGCATGTACTGTAGCTTCCCGCTTTAGTCTCTCTTTCGAAAACACTTTCTAAATGCACATACATATCTACATATCATTGTTTAAAATGTTTTTATATATGTAACTGTTTTATATACATTTTTATTATATCCTGAACTGCTTCAGGAGCCTCATGGGAAGCAATCCCTAAATGAAAATTAATTAAATAAATATGCATAAGAATAATAAAGGTTTTGGTTCCCAGGAGGCTGTATCTGCTCAAGACTGAGAGAAGGACTCTTGAGGGTTTGGGCTTCAGCTTCAGCTTCCAGGGAGTAGGCCTTTGGCGCTTGAGTGGGCAGCATCCCATTCTCCTTAGCTGTGTCTGACCACCAGATTCCCCTCCAAGCCTCCATCTGTTCTGCTACTATCCAGAACTTGACAACATTGACAAACACAAGTAGAATTAGTTTGGCAACGTGATTTGAATAGCATAGTGTGGTTTTCCATGGTGCAAAACTGGAGGCTTGTTGGTGTTTTTGTGGCCATCTTATTATTAATTTATTTATTCCCTGCCTTTCTCCCTGAAAGGCAGTTTGCAGATGCAAATAAGAACTGTTATAAACAAAACAACATTCAAAACTATTAAACATTGATAAGAATTTAAACTACATACATATATAAAATCTATTTTAAACCATACCAATAATTAAAGTAAAAACAGCTGGGCACCTTTCTTGGAATAGTGTATGATCAGGCACACCTGGTGTATCACCAGCTGGTGGTGATGAAGAGACTGCAGCTGAGGCTACTCTTTCCAGGGCCAATTAATTTCAAGAAAACAACTACATGTGGAATTTTTTTATTGCATTGTCCTTCATTTGCTCTGAAAAGTTTCAGGCAGAAGTGGGGGTAGCCTCAGAAGATGGAATAGTGGACATTTAACAAACATTCAACGTGATAAGTTACAACTTGATAAGTTGCCTTTATTTTAGATTCTGAGCTCTTCAGGGGAGTCAACATAGGCTGAAAATCCCCCACTTCTGTGGACCAGTGAAATGGTTCTCAGCCCCCTAAAGAAGCTCTCTGCAAGATAGTATTTCATTCTGTTGGATGTGTTTAATTCATCCCCAGATGAGAAGTACAAGTGAATGGTGTTAAAAGACAATGCTCTTTGTTTATTTCAAACAGCTGTAGCCAGGATCATTGAAAGTCATTGACATAAACTGCAGCTGCTAAGCCTGTATCCTTGCTTAAATGATAGATGACATCTAAAGAGACATCCACCTGACATCACATACTTGGCTTGCTTCCCACCTGGCTCTGAGTTATATACGCTTAAACTGGAAGAGGGGCATAACTGTACTGACAGAAACAGTCATTTTCATAGAATCATAGAGTTGGAATAGACCACAAGGGCCATCAAGTCCAACCCCCTGCCAAGCAGGAAACACCATTTTGGTGTCATATCATTATCAGAGGCAGATTTAGGGCAGCAACTGGTTCCCCCCACTGGGCACAGAGACTATGATGTAGTGCACACACAGAACAGGAAGTGAGAGACAGGGAGGGGCTCCAAATTGTGGCCTCACGCAGGGTGCTGCTGAAATTTTACAGATCAAAGTTGGCCTTGTCATTGTGTGAAGGACAGAGCCCATTGTTGGGATCTTTGTGAACTTTTAAAGATTAGGGTATTCATCTCTGGTCTTTTTGAGCTGCAGCCAGTTGTTGATATTGCACAGCTCCTGATAATGCACAGGCTTCTAATTGTTTTCAGCTGAACATGATTAGAAGCCCCCTTCCAACCTTTGCACCAAACACAGGAGGTTGTGGGAGGAGAGGTGCACCTGAGATGGTGGGTGGTTGAGATAACCAGTTGCCTGAAGAGGTCTGTAGTTACAACTTGATTTGCAAAATTTTGCCAAAAAGGTTGGCTTCCACTAGATACCCAAGTGGCTTTAAAAAAAATTCACTAAAATAAGGCCTTGATGGGGAAATATTGGGGTTCAATGCACAATCCCCTGTGGGCTCAGCCACATATTGGCCACATAGGGCCAATAAAATCCAGGCTCCAGTTGTCAGTCAAACTGGACATCTCTTTAGGAGTTGCAAGGCCAGTGTGACACAAGCTCAACCAGCAAGTAGCTGAGGGGTCTGCACCTTATAGGGCACCTAGCAGAATATTCCTCTCCAAAAGTTGTCAAGCCACTTGCAATCTACTTTCGGATTGAAAGATCTCAGATTCAAACGGGATGTAATCTGTTTTGGATTTTTTCATATCCTATAACTTTTAGGATTCCAAATAAGAGTTATTTTGTGCAAATTTGGCAAAATCCCACTGTGTGAGAAATACAGTGGGACTCTGCCAAATTTAGCAGAGAGGTTTGTTATACTGTGGGAAATGGTTGTGAAGTGTTAAAAACACCAAAGTGTGGGCAGAAGAGAAGTGCTTTGTGCATTGGCTTTACTTGGTTTCATCAGTTTGCCAGGGATGGAGCAAGAACATCTCCTTCAACAGCAATTCCTCCTGTGTCAGGAATTGGTGCAGAGGCACATCTCCAGCTTGGAGTTAAAATCCTTGGACAAGATAACTAACCACTCAGATTGTCATCGTGCATCTGCTAATAAAACAGAAAAGAATCTTAAAATGCACCTTCCCACAGGAATATAGCTGACATACTGATGAGCTTGTAGAGGGGGAAGTACCTTAATAGCTTTGGCTTTTGGTCTGATGGGTATGGGGTGTACTTTCATTCCTGTAAACATACAGGAATCCCTGGCTGTGCACAGAGAACTACCCCCCCCATGGGAGCATCCACAACTTTTAGGGAGCAATACAGACATTTCCCCTCTAAGCTGACAGTATACCAATTATGGTGGACCCCACCTTATGTACACACACCATAATAGCCACTACAGGTTATCTTTTGGGCTTTTTTGTGAATCCTTCTGCCCTCAGCAGCAGTGGAGGGTGCTGTCCCATGGCAAAGGTTGAAGTACCTTGGGTTGGTACCTCGGGTTACATATGCTTCAGGTTACATATGCTTCAGGTTATAGACTCCACTCACCCAGAAATAGTGCTTCAGGTTAAGAACTTTGCTTCAGGATGAGAACAGAAATTGTGTTCCGGCGGCGCGGCGGCAGCAGGAGGCACCATTAGCTAAAGTGGTGCTTCAGGTTAAGAACAGTTTCAGGTTAAGAACAGACCTCCAGAACGAATTAAGTACTTGACCCGAGGTACCACTGTATCTGCCCATGGAATGGGCAGGAGGCACCATCTTGTCTTTTGCTCCAGGTGCCAAGAAGTATCAGGCCAGCCTTCATATTGACTTGTTCCAGCAGATCAAGTCTTGTGTTCTCTGTGGTATCTAGACTATCGTATGGCCTATATGGTTGCCGTGTCCATTCACTGCATATTTCGTTGAAGTAGCTCAGTGGAATATCATATGTTTAGTGTACAGAAGATTCCAGGTTCAATCCTTGGCATCTTCAATTGGGTAGAACTGGGGAGCTGGTGCAGTCAGTGCAGATGATACTGAACTAGGTGGATCAATGACATGACTCAGGAAGACAAGAAGTGGCTTTATGCTATGCAGTTACTTCAAAAGTGTGAAACTGTTATCACAGCTCAATTTCCTGTATGTCCATCAGTTCCCAAACAGTATAAGGCAAGTTGGGTGGAAACAAGGCCATAACTAGTTGGCTTTGGTAGCACTTCAATCAATTGTATGAATTCCCTCTTAGCAAAATAATTTCCCACTCTCTCACTTATATATAGGAGCATTAAAGAGTGTAAGCCTGCAGTCCTACAACCTGAGAGAAAGTCCATTTGAATTCAGTGGCGCTTACATCTGGTTGTTCTGTAAATGCTTTTGACAATCCATCAGTAATCTACTTTTCAGGTTATTTGATGGGGATCACAGCAAGAAACTAAGGCCTTGATTTGAGTACACAGGACTTTTCGATCCCCAAAGCATACTTTGCTCCAGCACATAAGATGCTCTTGCATTCTGAAATTCCCTTGATATCTTATCTATAAGTGCACTCTTATCATTTATAATAATAATAAGACATCCAGCAGCACTTTCACTGGGAAATATGAATTCTGCTGATTACCCACATAAACAGTTTCTTGTTCATTATGGATATCTATCAGCTTTGGCTGCATGCTTGATTAAGAGAAATTAGTACAATTTTGTGTTTATAAAAGAACCCAAAACATTCTAATGCTACTCATGAGGATTTAAGGTCAGGGCCTGGCTATCGCCCATGGGGTGATCATGTGCTGAACTGTAACTTTTTGGAAGTTATTTGTTGCTGGACAGAATATCTTAATCAGTCAGCTGGTCCAAATGGGGCACTGCCCCACCAGCCTCTGCCAGTCTCCCCAGCTCCTGCTGTCCGCCTTCTTTCTTCTCTCCAGTCCAGGGGGTGGTGGAGTAAGACATTTTAACATTTTGGAATTACTGCTGTTCACAACAAAACTAGGCATTCTTAGATTTTCGAAAGGAACTCTTGTGCCAGTGGATATGCAGCATAACAGAAAGTGTTATGAGTGACAGGATCTCATATCAACCTGAATTTGCAAAAGGAAAAGGAAAATAGAAATTTTGTGTGAGCATAAGCCCTATTTCAAAATGTTGCAGAGAAACTGCTAAACCATGGTTTGGTGTTACATCTGAATAGCCTCTTAGATATTACATACCACTGTTAACCACTGTTAACTACACAAATCAGTTCAGAACTTACAGAAAGTTAAATGTAACTTATGAATGACTTATTCTCCAATTTGAATATATGTGTACAAATTCAAAGAAGAAACAGTATGGAGTAAAATGTATGAGAAGCTTGGTAGCCTATGAGAAGGTGGGGGAGGCAGACAATGAAGGTGGATACTGGATATCCAGTACACACACACAAAAAGTTTGCAAAAGCCTTTGTCTGCCAGCCGGCAGAAACAAAATCACTACATGTCACAGAGGGCTGCTGAACTTGAAACTGGCTTCCAGCCCTTTTGAGATTTGAATGGAAGAGCTTTCATAACATCAATACCACTTTAAAAATGTTATAAAGGTTATTGAAGAGTAAAAGGTACGTGAGGGGCAAATGATACTATAGGAATTTTGCTAGGCTGAAGTCCCACTGGGAAACAAGTTACGCCATTTCAATTTTGTCTCCTGGAGTGGTTGTATCTGTTTCCTATGAAGGTATAAAATGAGATATCTGGTGGAGCAAGTGAACCAAGCGAACAATGATCCCCACAACTT